GCACGTTCACGATCATTACAGCAGGGATGGAGAAACATTTAAGTTGTTGCCTTTGTTTGTTGAATGTTTATAGCTTCCGTTTGCACAGTCTCAACGACCACTGAGGAACCAGTAGATACAAAATCCAAATCCTCCTATAAAAGAGGAGATGCCCTCTGGGCAGCCATAGCTCATAGTTGGCCTGATTTAGTGGCAGCCAGGAATCTGGGCTTGAATAAAGACAGAGAGAGCGAGGGCAGAGTGGGAGAGAGAGAGGAAAAGATAGCTCCCTGTGTGATAAATAGCCCAGGCTCCCTCTATTGCATTAGCCGTCCGGGCCGATAGATTGCGAGCCCAATAGACCCAGACGTATGCGATTGGTTTCTCATATAAAAGTTGCATATTAAATTCCTTCACAGGACTGTGCCCCCCAAGCATGAAGGAGGGAAGGAAGAAATGGGAGTTAAAAAGCAGAAAGTGAAGAAAGCAATGGAAGAGCAAGAAAAAGGCTTTTTATGAGAGATGAAACGAAGGCAGAGTTGGGGAAGCCTGAGAAGAAGCGGGAAAGATAATGGCAGGAGAAAAGTAGCTTGATGGTAGAAAAGACAAATGGTGATGTCATGTATTTAATAAGTCCGTGGATATTGGGCGATGAGTGCGACCGTACGTCCATTTAATCAGTATTGCTTCCCAATGAAGATTTCTCTCCTGTTTGTGCACGCCCGCCCTTCTTCTGTTCTCAGCCGTTCTCCACACACTAACGACCTCTCTAATTGTTTCCAAGCTCATTAAGATGCTGATGTTTTAATAGTAATTAATCCGTCATTTGCCTACATGCAAACGCGGGCCACTGAGGTTTGTTCATCGCTCTTTCAATACACTGATAATGCAGTAGCCTAGTCAAAGGAGACAACATCCTGCTAATTTAGCTCATCACTGTTAATTGGTTGTTAAGTGCCTTTAATTACCAAGCAGGCTTTGGGATTTAGGTCTGCAGAATGAGAGGGATCCCCGTGATTGTCCCTGTTCGTCTAATGAATCTTGAGTGAACTTTGAAAAGTGGAATAAATGACCAGAGAGTGAAAAGAGACTCGCACTGACCCCGTTCTCTTTTCCATCTGAGCTCCCTCCTCATTTCCTTTCTTCTTTTCCTTCCTTTTCTCTGTCCTCCTGTCCCTTCCTCCATCTCTCTCTCACTCCCTATCTCTTTCTCCAGATATTATTAACTCATTAAGTTTTTTTCATTATTTTTAATAAAAGATGAGTTATGGCTTTAGCCTCACTGTGGCAGCATCCCCCATACTCTCGCCCTCCCTCCCTCTTCTCTCTCTCTCTCTCCCTCTCTTCCCCTTCAACCATTTACTCCCTCCCTTCCTTTTCCTCATCCTCCCATTTTCTCCTTCCTTCTCAGCCATATTGCGCCTGCTCTGATACATTTGACCCCTGAACTGCAGTCTCTGACCTCGGTGTTACCGGTTGCAACCTTCTGTCCGTCTTCTTTCCTTTCGCCACACTCACTCACGTCTATCAATCATCTCTCTTTCTCATAGCGCTGAGCAGTCTTAAGATGGCATTCATAAGATTTATGATTCATGATTCTCTCTCTTCTCCTCTGTCTGTGTGTGTGTATGTGTGTTTGCAAGATAGGAGAACAGAGAGAAAGAAAAGGGGAGTGCGAGAAAGACAGACTGAGGGAGAGGGAGAAGGAAAGGGGCTTGTCGATGACAGACTTGAATAATGACAATATCTATGATTGATAGCTTATATAGGGCTAGTTGAGTGTGTGTACTGTATTTTTGTCTGTGTGTGCGTGTGTATTAGAGTGACAGAAAGAGAGTTTATGTGTTCCGTTTTCACCACATTAATCTAATGTTAAAGGAGCCATGATGAATGGTTTTCATGTGGTTTGAGCTGTCAGTGGTCACAGCGATGGAGAAGAGCAGCAAGTGACCAGAATTACCAAGGGACACATGATTTTTATGTAGGAATAGAGGGACTCTAGAGGGAGAAGAAAAAAACAGAATCAATTTTCTCTCTGATATTAACCAACTTTAGTGTTTTGAACTGTGGAAGCCCTACGTAATTCCTTTTCTTTCTCACAATGTAAAGTTTCTTTCTCAATTTAAAATTCCTTCTTCTTTATTTAGTTTTGTATTCATTTATTTTGCAGAGCCACGCTGATAATATACATCTGATAGTAATGTGTGTTTAAAGCTGCAAACTGTCAGGTAAAAGATGGCCACAGGTATGGTCACATCTGCTCTGCTTAACAAGCCTCTCTAACCTGCAGCTCTAAAAAAAAACAAATATTATGCAACAAATACAGTTGTGGTGGAATGAAAGCACAACCTCTTTCTATTCTAAGGTATTACGTATTAGAAAATCATAAACAAATTCTGTTCTTTTAGATAATAACAGATTCAGATGAACAACAACACATGACATATTACTGTCATTAGTTATTTTGCAAAAACTAAGCCAAAATGCAACAGCAATCTCTGAAAAACTAATTACACTGTGATTCAATAGTGTTTGCTGTCAGAGAGGTGACCTCACATTTGACTACTTTGATATACAAAGGATTTCATGGTTGACTCGGTGACTGCAAGGTGTTCAGGTCCTGTGGCTGCCAAACATGTCCAAACCACTACCCCTTCACCGCTGTGCTTGACAGTTAGTACGAGGTGTTTGTGCTGAAGGGATGTTTGGTTTTGACCAAATGTGGCATTGTAATTATGGCCAAACATCCTCACCTTGGCTTCATGTGTCAGAAGGAAATTGTTCCTGAAGTGTTGTGGTTTGCTCAGATGCAGCTATGCCAACTTCTACTTTTAGAGAAAATGAGCTTTCTCTTGGCAACTCTTCTAAAAAAAAAAAAAAAAAAACAACTATATTTTTCTAATGATACTGTTATGAAATTTAACATTTAATATGCCAACTGTGTAGAGTCTGAAATGTAGTTCTTGTGTTTTTTGCATTTTCTCTGAGCATTGCACGGTCTGACAGGGGGGTGAATTTGCTGGGACGTCCACGCCTGGGAAGACTGAAGACAGCTGTTTTGAATGATTTTTCACTAGTGAATATCTTCTCTCATTCTACAGTTATGGACTTTACATTTTTGGGAGATTTCTATATAATCCTTTCCAGATTGATAACCAGCATTGTGTTAACACACACCTGAATGCTCGAGAAGCAGCAAACTGTTAACATGTCTGCTTTTATACAGGGTCTCACTTAATCAAATCCTTTTGAGTATCAGCACCTGGTTGCTGGTTAACCTCCGAATTCCAGTAGAAGCAGTAAAAGTGAACTTCTGCTTCTGCATTTTGGTGTAGGTTTTCTTAAATACATAATTACACCATGTAATTTGTCATGTGTTGTTCATCTGAAGCAACATTAACTTAAAAAAAATGTTTGTCCTGATATGTAAAGGCTTATAATTACCTCCTTCTTTTTTTTTTAACATAACTGTAAATATGGAAGTATGTGACCGGTTAAACTTGGATCTCAAGTTTTTTGAGAAAAGTTTTTTCTGTGGGTTAGTTGTTTACTGCATATGAGAAGATGCACAATGTTAGCCTGACAGCTTGAGGTAAAGCACTTAATTGCTCTCAGGTCAGGTGTTTAGCCTGAGCTAAATATGTCATGTTCTGTACCAGTATCACTTTTTATTGAGACATTGTCCGCGCAGCTGCCAGCTGATCAATGATATCCCATCAATTTTATATAAGAACATATCAACACGTAGTAATTTGCACTTTTACTCGACTGACTCCAAATGTCATCTTGCTGTCAGAACTCCCCTCTCAAACGATTTTAAGTTGTTCTTAAAATTTCGTTGGAGAGAGCGTTTCCTGAAAAACATCCAAGTCTAGTATTTCCAAGCTTGCATTTGCTATAAATTCCTTAAGTTATGTTTGGCATAAATGTCTGTAGCTGAACAAAGGCTCTTTTTGATCTTCATATTTTACATAGTCACGCGTGAAAGCAATGCCTTGCTAGAAGACATGAAGAATGAAATACGTATGAGATCTGTTCAGCATTGAGTAAGACAGACTTGAAACAATCAAAACTAATCCGTTATTTCTCTAGAGTTGAATTGAAGAAATGACTCTCCTAGCTATAAACCAAATAAGTGTTTCCATGTGGCGAACTGGATTGTAAAATCAGTTGTTTCCAGCTACAACCTAACATGCATGTATATATATTAGTATACACTTCTGAGTCATTCCTCAAAGGAAATAGCTTGAAGAATGGAGAAGGTTAAGTGTTAATGTGGCAACAGTTTGAAGCGATGTTTGCTGACAGCTGTGATGAATTGTTTCCAATGTGCTTGTGTTCCTTACCATACACACACGTTTTCTGCATCATCCCACAAGATAAGATCTGTTCATGCTTAACGGCCTGTATTGTCTCCAAAAACGGTGGTATGTATCATATTTTTTATTTGAGCTGCTCTTTATTGGTATGTTTGCTTTTTGAGGAACAGTGCATGCCATTTATTCAGTCCATAGTTACATTTACAGTATGATTCGATGCTTACACTTACCAGCTCTGTACCACAAAATGATAAACGGTAAAACAATATATGGAGGGGGCTCCATTCTTTAAAATCTACACATAACATTATTTCACATGCTACACATTGAAAGGTCACATATTTATCAACACATAAATAAGTGTAACGAGAGTCTATTTGTCACCTTCTCCCTTCCGTTATCTCATTTTATTGAACATTTTTAATTTAACACCAATTCTTCTTTTTTTTCCCATTCTGAAGACGTGGTATTTTGTATTCCCACTGGAGTGCACTCTTGTGTCAGGATATAAAATATCCAGTCCTTCATGAAATTGATGAACAACAAGTTAATTGGCTGGTCTTCACTGGGTCCTGCTGTGCTTCATTACTATCCACAGTTAGTCTGCTTAAGAGCATTTTAGGGCCATATGTTGCCCTGAGTGACAGTTGGCTGCAGTCAACTAATTGTGTTAAACAAGTTCAGTTTTAGTTCCGTCCAAGTAGAAGCAGCCTCATTTGTTTGGTCCTGGGTGGACTGAGCTGGCTGTGCATGTGCAGTTGATTCTTACCGATTGAGGCGTAGAGTTGCAGAGATCCTTATCTTTGTATTCATAAAGACACAAATGAAAAGGAGCAAAGGTTTGCTCGTCTATTCACTCACCGTTGGTAATGTATACATACATACGGGGCTACACATAAAAGTTTCAGGAGGTAGGACGGGTCCTGTGGAGGAAATAGCTGTATGCACAAAAAGAATACTGCAGTATTAATGTACAGATCAGACAGCTGACCCAAAAACACAACAATAAAATGATGTAATAAACTAAAAGAGAACTTGTAGTATCTGGTTAAAGTAATTACTGGATGGCAAACATGTTCGAATAATTATGTGCTTTAATGTAGATTTGATGGACTGTGTGTCTGCGCACACTCGTATGTGTGCTTGTTGCTACAGAGCTCTGTGCTCTTGTCGGCAATATGGGCGCAGATTTTGTCCTTTGTTGTTGTAACTGAGTCAGACTTTGAGCTCATGCACATAAAATGAACAATTAAGTCAATGATAGTCACAAAATGCATAGAAAGAAATGATAACAGGATGTGAAACTGGATAATGTAACTCCTTTATTCTGGAAGCAAATTTCTCAGCCTAATAAGCATATGGCAATATGGCCCGATATGCTGCGGATGACACAGCTAAGATGTGTGTATTACAGCTCGTTTGTTCTCAGCTGGACTGGTTTGTGGGGGCTATAGGGATGTCAGAATGTATTTCTACTTACATAATGTACTATGGATGTTTCTACTGTGATACTGGATGCTTCCAAATAGAAGGGGTTGTACATCTTTGTCTATCTTTTGTCTGTTTGTTGCCCTTTTGTCATCGACCTGATGGATTCCTGTTCTGGGTTGTTTTGTAAGCACACCATCCACCTCACAAGCACAAGCTCAGCACAACCTGGGTTCACTGAAAAGAATGAAGAAAGACATATATGTGCATTTGTGTGAGTGAGAAGATTTTATTTTTCAGAGTATGACAGAAAGACATTATATGATTTAGTGCAATGACATACTGAAAGCAGGGTATCATATAGAGCTTTTTTCATAGCATCACATTCATCTGAATGTTGGTGCTGCAGCATTGTCACTCCAGTCTGGATGCAAAGCATGATTTTTTTTTTTTAAGTACTCAATTTATATATGATGAGGTTTGAGTCATGACTGTGCAGGCAATAACACCAGTGCTGACACAAACTCATCTGCAGCATTCTGTATTCATGTTTATGAAGCATAATGTAACAATAGCCTGAATAATAATTTACCTTCCATCACCACTGACATCTGTGGTAGCAGTGCCATTTGCAAATTGGATAGATGTTGTGGCTGTCCTGCTGTTCATTTCTTGAAGCATGACGTTTTGATGTGTTAGACCTGCTCTGCAGGTGGCAGGGGTGTGGCCGCACAGCAGCGTTACCTCTGTAAGCTGGTCTCTGGCTGAAGAAATTCAAGGTAAGATGGAATTGGGGATGAGGATATACTGTAAAATGTATTGACACTATAATGTTTGCTGTCTTATACAAAACAGTCAGAAACCAAAAAATGGACTGGTACGTATGTGTATGGTGCATTTGTAGTCTTACTGACTTTAGGCTACAAGCCACATTTAACCATATATTCATACAAGGTTTTATTCTGTTGCTTTAAACACATTATCTACCTCACATCCGTGGCCATTTTTTATTTATTCTTTCTGTCATGGCCAAATTAGAAAAACAAATTAAACTAAAATGCATGTATTTGAACTGTGGTTAAGTTGAAATACCTGAAGGAAACACACTCAGGTAAAGGGAAGATGCAAAGTCCACACAGAAACCAGACACCAGAAACCTTCTTGCTGTAAGTGCTAACCTTTTCACCACCATGCCAGCTAACTCAGCTTTATTGATTTTGTACTCTCCAAGAAACTGATTTTTTTTATTCCTTACTTAAACCTGGCAGTGTGACTCAAATATTTGTCCCTCGTCAGAGTTTGCCCGGGTGATTACACCCTCATTAGCCAACAGCGAATGAGGAGGAGGTCTCGCTGCAGTCTGGAAATGGTTCTAATGTTGTTCAGCAAATGTTGGATATTTTTTGAAGCAGCTGATTAAAGTCATGAAGAAGGGTCCTTTTTATTGTGCTGTGGTGTACCATGCTCCATGAAGTTTTCCAGATTGATTACAACTGGGGATTTTAACATACAAATTAATGACAACTCTGACGTCTTTGCCAGAGCTTTTATCAGCATCACGAGTTACCAGCATGCTTATGGCCCCACGCATACCAGAGGACACAGACTGGAGCTTGTTTGTACTTTGAGTTTAAATGTTGTTTGGATTTGTTTTAGGAACATTTTTATTTCTGATCATCACTGTATTCTTTTTAAAAAGTATTTGTGCCTTTCTCCCCACTCAGGTCTCAAATTTCAAATTGTTTTTCTGCTGATATTTTTTTATGCTTTCAATTTATTCTTATCCCCTAATAACAATGTTAATCCTTTAATATATGTTATATTAGTCATTGTCTTATCAGTTTAGATAAAGTATGTCCTGTTAAAAATGAGGACGTACTCTTCTCCTTGGATAATTTATTTATGGTTTAAGGTGTTCTCGTCAAAAAGTTGAACTTGTTTACCCATTCATTGCTTTCATTTAAATAATCTTTTAGTTTGTTTTAAAACTTCAGAAGAAATACAATGGCTGCTTGCTTTTCAAACCTAGTTTCAAAGACCAAAGGTAGTCCTAGGGTTTTATTTGACATTGTGATATTGTTACTCCTGCTCCACCTGCTGTCACAAATATTTCAAAAATCAATTATGAAAATGTTCATACTTTCTCTGCAGGAAAAAAAAACAAAAAACAGAAATGTGAGAAATAATAATAATTCAGCATCTTCACTGTCTGTTCCTGCCCCAGCTGAGCCTGTTATTTTAGGAAGATTTTTACCTATTTCTTTTCTTTATCTGTTGAAATTAATTGAGTTATTGACATCATCCTCCTGTTCTCTTGATATTTTATCTGCAACTCAAAAATGCTTCATTTACTAGTATTGGTTCCTATGTGCCTACCGTAATCGAACTTCAGTGATGGCCGATCAAGTCCCTGCTTATTTAGTCACATATTTTAAAATATATATATATATTTTTAAAGCTTAATCTTTCTCTTCTTAGCGCTTTTAAGACTAATCTCAAAATTGTTGTTCTTTGCTCACCCACTGAGCCTAACCTCTTCCTTTGATACTGCTGAACCTCACATTATGCTCTATAGACTGGGATACTGGGTGGGTGTATCAGGTTCTACTTTGTAGTGGTTCTTTTCATATCTGTTTGGATGATCCTTTGGTCTTCTTCCAGTTCTCTATCCATGGTGTGCCACAAGGTTTGATTTTAGGGGCCTTTACCATTTCTGTTATATCAGCTCCCTCTTCAGAACATGGTGATGCATGCATTTTTAAGGATATTTCTTACCACTGCTGCACAGATGTCATTAAGCTGTATATTCTTTTTAAGCCCCATATGTTTCTACATTACAGATCTTGTACAGGTGTTGGATGGCTGACGGCCAACTTTTTCTCTAACATAATGAGGAGAAAATAGAAATCTTTGTTTGTGCCCCTGATAAATTTATGCACGGGCTAATAGAAACACTAGATTCACTTTCCACTTTTACAAGTGCTTTTAGTATCTTGTAGTAGTTTGTGATATTAATCTGGAAAACAGCTATAAAAGTACAAATGTTACTTTTACTTACTTTGAACAGCTTTACCTGCTGATACAGAAGGGGATATCTGCTGGCTCCTCCACCTGCTGTACATAGGGCATTGGCATCTCAGTAGATGGGTATAGGCTGACCTGAAGTCCCTGTTGAGGGCTCCGTAGAGGATTGGATTTAGGGCTGAGTTGGCATAGCCTAGCCACAGCACAATGGAATATTCTGGCACTGTGCCAGGGTCTGGATGCTCCTGTAAGCCCAGCACTGTGAATAGGATGAAATAAGGTAACCAGCACACCACAAAAGCCCCAATCACTGCTGCCAGTGTCACTGTGGCTTTGTGCTCCCGCAGTGCCACAACTGTAATGCTGGAAATCACAGTGGTGGTAGTGGAAGAATTGCTCCTGCAGTTGTAGCTGGTGATGCAAGTGGGCCGTTCACTGACAATGCGCTTGGCCTGTGCACGTGCAATGCGAAGTATTCTGAGGTAGGTCCAGCACATAGCCACCAGAGGCAGGTAGAAGGTGAGGAGAGAGTCAGTAAGCACATACGGTCTGTTCAGTTCAAAACGACATTTCCCCTCCGAAGCCCAAGGCCCGTGGTTCTGCACTGTCCCGTTAACGGTGTTCCATCCCATTTGGATGGGCAAGAAAGACACGGCCAGAGACACAGTCCAGACACTCGCCATGGCTACAGCAACTCTCCACGGTAACACCAGTGATGCATATCTCAGAGGCATGGTCACTGCCAGGTAGCGATCGACACTGATTGCCAGGAGGGTGAGGATGGAGGCAGTGCACAACATAACATCCATGGAGATATAGAAGTTGCAGAAGACTGCGCCAAGTGGCCACTCTTCATTTAGCTGTAGGAGAGCAGAGAAAGGGAGGACTAAGAGGCCGAGCAGCAGGTCTGTCACAGCCAGCGACAAAATGAAACAGTTAGTGAGGCAGCGGAGACGTCGAGAGGCACAGACAGCCAGGCACACAAGTACATTACCAGCGACAGTCAGGAGGATGAGAAGGATCAAGATGAAGGCCAGCATTACTTTGGACAACATTATTGCTGTTACTTCACTGGAGTCAATCAGACGACATCATGACCGCTGCTTTATGTGAACCATTGTCCTGTTTTTGTGTCAGATTTTAATCAGATGAAGGATGGTTGCTTCAAGGACTCTCATTGATTAAGTGCCACTTAAAATCTTGGCCACCCACTTTTATCTCCAGCTCTCCCTGTATTTCCAATGTAGGTAGTAACTGATTGTTTCCTGTTGTTGAAAAACCTAAAAAGTATCATATGGACTGATAAGAACAGATTTTCCATACATACTAATGACAGTAAAAAAAAATAAAAAATCCGACTGGCTGTTGGTTGGTTGTTGAACGGCTTTATGTCTGCAAGGCTGATTAACAGTGGTTCATGGTTCATCTTTCTGTCTTCAGCACCATTTCATATGGATATAGTGACACCTAGTGGGAAAAGACAAAAAGTACAATTAATAAGCCATTATGCCGTACAGTCACAGACACACTTCTACACTCACACGTCAAAAAGATGCGGCTTTCTTATAAATTGGTTGTAACTGTAATTTATGTTATGTAACTGCTAATATACTACTACTGTAATAACCCTTTAATGCCTGCAATATTAAAGCAAAGGCAGCTAGTCAAACATATGGTAGATGTCATATTAGGACAAACTGGGTTACACTGATAAGATCCTGTCCTGTTTGAACTGAGGAGGTCATGTGAAGGAGCATTTAATTGCTTGTAAATTCAGATTTTGTTTGCCAGAGAGTTTGTTGTTTCTTCTTTGAAAACTTCAGTAGTGTGTCTTTAAAATGACACATATTAACCTGTTGAAATGTTGTTTAAGGTTGAAATTAGTGCTACATATGCTACAGCACCAGCAATGGCTTCACTTTTGTGCAGCTTTAGATGGTTGCATGCATGTCTTGCACCTAATGTTTTAAATGTATAATGCATGATGCTAATTATTTCATTGTGAGCTTGCACATAATTAATTCATTACATGCATCATCATATTTTACATGTATACCACTCTGTATTCTTTTATGCTTCCATTTTACAAACCTGTTTTCAAACAAACAGTCAATCTGAAAAATATCTTTCAGTTATCGGTAAATATTTAAATCAAGGGCGTCTCATACACAGCCTAATTGTTGATATGACTGGATATAAAAAGAGAACTAGAGTGTGTAAAAGATTCTGTAAAACAATATGTGAGCAAATTTTCTATCAATAGCAAGATATTATTAACATAATATATAATAAAAACAACAAGAGCACTCAGAAAGTACAACTCCTCCACGAAGGGCAATTGCTAAAGTTTTATGTTTTTATTACAATATGATGACATCAGTCTGTTATGGCATCATTGTGTCGTGATAGGCATCATAGTGAAAAATAAAAAGTTTGTTGTACAACTCTCTTTTTGCCCTTTTATATGATATGTTACTCAATATGTTTTCTCAAAGGTTTTTTCAAGGACAACATTGGCCTCGGGTGCTAAAAATGATGGTCAAGGTAAAATGCTTAGCCAACCTAGGTACTCATTTCTCCTAGTATATTCCTGTGAAATTTGAAGACAATCCATAGATATTTTATTTATTTATTTATTTTTTGCTAATATGAAGTTTTCACTGGTTTTCACATTTGCTGTGCCCATGACCAACTTGATTCAAATTTTGTCAAAATTAAATCAGCTCGAGATGTCATTTAAATCCACCATCACACAAAATTTGAAAATTATATCTTGAAAACTGTGGTCAATAGACTGCCAACAACAGACAGACAGACAAACCAACAGAACCAATAATATGCTCCCTTCCTTCGAGGGAGGAATTTTAACAAAAAAAAAAAAAAGAGAGAGAGAGAGAGAAAATTGAGCAATCTCTGAATGCTAGTGGCAAAGACCATGACTAAATGGCTGTGATGTTCAGGCCTTCAGGTGCCACTTCATCCATAATACACAATATTGAGGTGGAAATCACCGCAAGGGTTTAGGAGCACTTCTGAAAACTGCTATTACTAAATCAAACTAAATTTTAAAGCAGAAAACCATGAAAAAAAAATCTTTTTTAAAATTAAAAATGGATAGAAGTGAAGTCTTTCACTGTCTTGTGAGCAGAACAAGGAACGAGGTTCATATTCAGAAAGGAAAAGGAAAAGTTTGGAAAATTATTGGCTTATAGAAATGGCTGTCAGGGAGTTTTAGGATTACCTGAAATACCAAAACTTGCCAGCTATGGATATTTTTCCCTGCTTGGGTCAAATAGCCCTTGGACACCTGTTGGAGGAGTTTGTTAACTTTTGGAGGAAAGATCCACTCACAGGTCAGAACTCTACTCTGAAAGGCACTGGGAAAACCAGATCTAGGGCTCAAACATTTATTGTGAATGTGATGCAACACCAGGTAAATGTCTCGGCACTGTGTGACAATGCACAGGCTTTGCTGAGGTCTAGCTTCCTATACCAGTTGTATTCTCACCTGGATGATTAGAAGAATCAAAGTTTAATGCACTTCTGCATTGGCTTTCCCTCTAAGTTATATCTTTTACAATCTATCTCAACCTGAGTCTGAGTCTATAGATGGTGACAAAAGGTAAAAGGCTGTTGCTAAAGATGTGATTTATTTCTCTACAGGACAGGTTGTTCGCTACTGCAGGAACATCAGGAAGGTTCAGTGTTTCTATCACAGAGGAAGTGGAACTTCTTTTTCGAATGCTGTGGTTACGCCAGCCTTCTAAAACAAACATGGCAGCCCATACGGAAAAGAAATAGTAAAAACTTATATGTGATTACTCATGAAAGTGGCCACTTTCGCATTACTTTCATATATTGTTTTAGTAAGTATCCAAAACATACAAGTTTCATTATATAATTTTTCAAGGGATCTTATATCTGTTTTCACACTTATATGCTTTTCATACAAGTTTCACACAAGACAGATACAAACTTTATAAGATTTATATATATCTTTTCCATATGGGAGGGACCTGAATACTTTCTAAAGTGACTTTGTGCCACAATGGTAATACACAGCACAGTGCAAAAGTCTTAAACCACCCATCATTTCTCTATATTTTGCTGGGAAAATGGGTGATGAGTGCACTGATTTATTGAAACATGCAAACTTGAATAGAAATATGGTATAAGTACTGCATACGGTGACAAGTATAATTCACAAAGAGAGTGGTTATTCTTCAGCACAGCCTGAACTCTCTTGTAATTTCTTCAAGTAGTCTTCAGGAATAGGTCTCCAGGCTTCTTGGTTGACATTCATATTCTCTTCTTTGGATGTTTCCTGCCTTTTGTTCCATTTTCTGGCAAGATGATCCCACACTGCTTTGATTTGAGGTCCAGGTTGGGCAGGTCAGTATTCCATTATGTGTTTTTCTATCAAGGTATCCTTTTATTGCATTGGTAGCATGGAGGGGATCATTATCATGCTGAAACATGAAGCTGCTGCTAATTAGACATTTTTCAGATAACAACAATTTGTAAGACCTGCAGGGACTGATTTTCAGTACATTTTTCCTCAGTGTCACACATTTCTACCTGTTTCCTTTCCCATTTCCTCATGGCCACTGGAAGCTTATTGGCCTTACTAGCATGTGACCCACATATGCAAGTCTAATGCAGTGTCCTGATTTAAATGTGCCCAAAGGTTATTCACTGTGTCCTATCTTCATCTTATTCCCAGCTTTCCTGTCTTTGCCTGTCACAGTCTGGCGAGGGCAGACTGTATGAATTGATGAGAAGGACCCAAAATGCAGACTCCAAGGAACAGGGAACAAAACGTGAATGTTAACAAAAGGCGAGCCATTTAATGAGGCTGGTAAAAGGTACAAACAAAAGGCAAGGCAAACTGAAGCAAAATTAACACAAACCTAAACTGGGGAATCTAAACCACAATATGAAAAAACCTGGACATGAAACCTGGCGTAAAGAACATGGCGTGAACAACAGACGACCTGACAAGGAATGACTGAAGACACACGGACTAAATACACACAGGAGGATAATGAGGGAAACGGAAACACATGGGGAAACAGCTGACACACATGAAGATAATGACGTCACAAGGGGAGAGTAAAACTAAAAACATTGAACATAGGAACACAGGACCCCTTCAAAATAAAACAGGAAACATAATGAGACGCAGACATGACAACCTGAACTTGACAACATAAGACACAGACATGAAACACATGAAGGGCAAGGGAGACTTAACAGGGGTTGGAAGACACAAGAGGAAACTAATAACAAATGAAAAGAAAAAATAACGAACTTAACCATATACCATAAACATCAAAATAAACTAAAACTCAAAACACTGAGTCATAAGAACCAGGATCGTGACATTTGCCCCGCTGTCCTATCACAATAACAATAAAAATAAAAACATTTTAAAAATATATATCAAGAAATAGAATGGCATCTTCACAGTGCCCATTCTGATGAGGATTCAGCAAACAGTAGATGAATCAACTGAAGGACAAGATGCATCTCACAGATTCTGTATCAGGTCTTTTGCAGTATTTTCTGCATTTTTTAAAAAAAAAGACATGACTTCACATACTGTTCATCTGCTAAGGTAGTTTTAAAGCCATTCTTGTTTTGTTCTCCACATCTCACGTTTTCTCCAGTTTTTAAAGGTCACACTGCACACCATGCAGCGATATACCACCAGCTAACACATCTTCGGGAATGACGTAAAAATACTATTTTGGGGGGTCAAACTTGCCTTTTGTCATAGATTAATCTAAAGAACACTGAAAAAATGATGTGCTTTTGTACCAGGCTGCTAATAACAAAATACCTAAAGATACAATTTAGTTTAAAATTGGTTCTCCTCATTGCTAAGTAGTCTGTAATGAATAGACCCAACGTTGGTTCATCCCTTGAGTTAGGTGTCTTTTTATGCTTAAATAATTCATCGGTCAGTGTTAAGGGGTCAAATAAACAAAACAACATAAAAGCTTTCCTCTGAAAATGGACAGGGACTTGACTGAGATGAGTGAATCAACAACTAATTGTCAAAGAAGAAATTTCGAATGACCTTCAGAAAGCTTGGAAAACAACTGCTCAAGACCACTTATCCAAAATTACAAGAAAATCTGTCTCCTTGGAAGCAAATTAGAAAGAAATGAAGGGGGGCGGGGGGGCTTAAGACTTTTGCACAGTACTGTATGTAGTTTTCCATTAATAAATAACAACCTTGAATGACAAATTATTCAAAGCTTTACATCCAGACGTTAATGCTTTGTTTTCTACATAGACCTTGTTTACAGATTTACAGAGCGGTACTCTGAGAA